AACGGCAGAAGGGAGGAGATTTTGAGCCCCCTTCTCCGACTATATCATATTGATTGAATCAAATATTGATAAAAGGGATGAAGGTACTGAATAAACAAACTATTGCAAGGAATTAACTCTAATTATAATCTTTTTTGTTTGCGACCAGGTACTTCGAGAGTTACCGCTGAGTCAGAATCGAAGTGACGTTCCTGTTGTTTCTGCGTGCAGGGCTGCCAATGCTGTCACTTCACAACTTGGTGAGTTATATAATTTAATTTCAGATGCAGATTTTCTTAGACTCTCTTTTTCACATTTTTAGAACTCCATATCTGTCCAGCGTATTCTGCTGAATTAGAACAAATGCATTCTGTATACTGGGATACTGAGAACGACCCGTTCTTCAAGTGCCTGAGCACTGCGGCTCCCAACTTTTCGTTAGCTCGATCTATAGACATTCGGTAGGACTCCTCAGACGAGGGATCGGCCTGTCGCGAGGCCTCTACCTGTACACAGGACAGCGCAACGTGGACAAACATCCACGGCTTGAGTGGGATTCGAACCCACGGTCCCAGTGACTAAGCAGCACAAGGCCCACGCCTCAGACCGCGCGGCCACTGCGGACCCCACATTCTGTATAACTGATATAAATTACATTTTGTCGCTTTACCGTGTTTTTAAACGTAACAGGTCTGCGTAAGCTATGGGTCAGATAATCCATGTCAAACAGTTCTTGAGTTATGATTCTCAGTTGTCTACCGTTCAGTTCCTTTAGATTCGGGTAGAATATTTCCTCGTTAAATTCTGTTCGATGTAGTATTGTATTTACGTAGGACCTCATATTGGCGCTATAAAATAGTCAACATAATTGTATGAAGGAAACTGTCACAAAGGAGAAATATGGGCACTGATACACATAAATCCTTTAGCACCCTCAGAAACGTCCTGGGTGCGGAGGTGAACTATACTGATTCGGAACTCGGTGCTGTGTCAGCGCCTCCTTGCTGTAGTCTTAGAAGCGACTCGTTTTCTTTCCAACCCAGTTTCTTGATCCGCAGGAGATGTGAGGTTATGTAATTAGACCCAGGTTTTGTTGAATTGGGGTCGATTTGATATAAATGGAATTTAGATATGTTTTAATAATGGGAAAATCACGGTCGTTTGCCGGAATTGAAGATGAAGTTCAGGTTTCTTGTGCGCCCTGACGTTTCTCAGTGCAAGGTTGAATATTCTCATTTAGAAAATTGTGAATCCGTCCATCACCGCAGTCGTAAATGCCTCGGCTTCTTACTTTTAAAAACTCTAGATCAGTGAGAAAGGTGGAATGATGGGGAAATTTTTTAAAAGTTTTATCTTCAAAAACCTTAATCTGTAGCGGATGCATTCTTGAACGGATGTTAACGCAGTTGTGGGCACAAAATATTTTTGGGGTAGACCTAACTAAAATTCCAGTGTTAATGTTTATAAGACTGATACTTCTGTTACGTAAATAAAAACTGAATTTGTGACTTTGTCATTTGCAGGTCCTGGAAGGAATCCTTCAGGTAAACCCATAAAGAGGAAGCTAAATGAAGAACCAGAGAGACTTGTGTTATTTAAAAGGCATCGTTGTGAATTTTAGGGAAGAAGAAATTTTTGTTTTTAATTTTAATAAAGAATTTTGTAATACTTTTACTTAAATTTAGTTTGATATTATTTTTGAGACACCAATTTTGCTCTGGATCAATTTCAGTACTGCTTTAGTCATCTGGGCGCCCTGTCGATAGAGGCAGTGAGGAACTCCGAAACGTCTGTAAACATCTACCAGACTACGCGGCGCAACGTCCCAGAAGACATAAATCAAGTGAATATATAAATTATCTAAAGTAAAATTAGTGATATGTCTTATTTAACGTGGAATGTATATTAATGTTAATTAAAACCAAATTTGACTCTGGACTCATTTTAATATCAGAATTAAAGAATCGACTGATGTGTTCTAACTGTAAAAATTGTTTGTTTTGTTTCCAGATCATGAAAATTGCTCCGGACCAGCGTTCATTTCGACAGGTTCGTGAGAACTAAAACAATTTCTGTACTTTGATATGTTTACGTTGCAACTGTGACCAAAGTTCCTAAAGGGCAGAATTGAGAAGGGCTGTGGAGTCTGAAGCAATTTTAGGTGGAGTCGGAGTCAGTAAAAATGTACCAACTCCGACTGATATAAAATCTTAAGGAAATACTATTTTAACACTTTCGCTACCATGTGAGCCGTCGGCAGCCTCACACTTAGGGAGATTCGACGACGCGTTGAGCCATGTGGTGTGGGAATAATTCTTCGTAACTTTGGCTCCAGTACCTCAAGAATACAAACTGTCTACAAATCAATGGATTTCTGCAATAAACATTAAGTCTAAAAATTAGTCTGATGATTCACGTGGTGGTTATGAATTGTCTTATGGTAACATTTACCATTTTAGTAGGTTTACCATTATTAATACATATTGAGCTTTTATGAAGGGATCGGAGTCGGAGATTTTAGTACCGACTCCACAGCCCTGGAATTGAGCCAGTTATACGAAATGTTCTAACCAGATGAAACGAGTATAATTAGAGAATAAGCTCACGTATCCATTTAAGCGTAATTTTGTTGTTGTCATTCTGCTGCTTGATACGGTAAAATTATTATGGGATTTAGAATTTCTGATGTTTCAGGTGTGGTCACTTCAAGGGGACATGCCAATGTGGGTTGAGCTTTCTTCCTGTAAGAGGCATACCGTGAGTACCATTTGCGCTTGGACGAACCGTCCATGATTCAGACCAAGTAATACATTTAGGGTAGAAATCAGTTGATTTCTGACTGTCATGTGAGAAAATGAAGTGTTTCTGGCCCCAGTTGTTGATTTGGTACACCTGTTTAACCCTTCGAAGCCGAATGGTAACCACATGTTCCACCAGTTTCAACAACCATTTTGTATTTACGATTCTCGGTGTGAATGTTGATTATTTCCTTAAACGACATTAACTGATTGATCATTGTGATGGGGAAGTGTTGTGTTTTCTTTGCGGTACGGACTGAATTATTGAATATGTCTTATATTGGCCTCAGCTTAAAAGATTGTACTTTTTCACGTGTTTCGTTTTTTGAAGTGTCTCGCTTCTAACAAATATATGATATTATTAACATGGCATGGGACAACTCTGTGTAGAAGCTCGTTATGAAATATGATTTTTTATTATTTTCAAATTTCATTTCATTTAATTTTTTTGTATATTAATTTTAATTTAGAATTGTACAGATGAAAACACGTTTTGAAGGAAATTGTAACGTACAGCGACAAAGTTGTGAGTACTGTACTGTCCAAATCTGTAAAAAAGAAAACATTATCTTCCCCCTTGAGATTGATCAATGTTTCAAAACTCCAAAATGATATTCGAACCGATTAAGAATAATTTCAGTGTTGTTGTAGTTTGGAGATGGGAGAAATCTGTGAGTTCTAGGTCCTTTAGAATTAAATGATCAAGGTCGTCAGAAGGTTGGAGGGGTAGCAGGTAAGGACGCATATATTATTCATACAGTAAACATTTCCCAACAGCAGCACTCGCCGTCTCAGTTCGTACAGCGCTGATGTCTTTGGTTTGGGTAGTATAAGCGTTTTTTTTCCTTCTATCCAGAAGCTAGTGACAAGCGAAACCCACAATTTGATTCTGGATACTGTACCTACGTAATGGTCTCGAAACAGCTGTTTTTGCTATACTGTTTGATCGATATACTTTTATCGATTAGCATGGTTGTAACGAATCGCATCGTAACACGTGAATTCAGTTTTTATTGGGCGCAGACAAATTACGAAAAGGTTTACGGGAGGAAAAGTTGTTTATTTTGTTGTGAAGTGAGACGTAGTTGGACGAAAGTTTGTGTGTGCGATATTTACATCCGAATTGAACCAGAAAGGAAGAGGCGTATATCATTGTTAGCTGTGTGATGGAACTTTCTAGAACTGCATTTAACTCCTGCAAGCAGGTAAAATTGCAAC